GATCAAGAGGAGGGTGCTGTCAGCCCTACTGTTCCTGCCTACCTTGCTGGCTGCAGAGCAAAAATATACAGCAGATGGCATGCGGGGAGTGAGAAGCAGGAACACGTGGCACTAGACAGGTTATCTAAGGGCATCCATGTGTCTTTTCCAACACTATTCAGGGAGCCAAGTTCCATATGGGTTTCCTTCCTTGTGTATCATTAATGAGAACCATCAAGCAGCACGTTCTTTGTCAAGGACTGGTAACAAAAGCATGCAAATGATATGCAGAATAGATGAAAATCCTGACTGTTCACCCAGTCCAGCATCCTCTGGCCACAATGGCCAGTTAGGAGGTATCTCTAGGAAGTTGGCAGGTAGGTCTTGAATGCACACACCCCGTCATGCTGTTGCCTTCTCAGCAATTGTACTAAATGGCATTCTATTACTATCAGTTTTTACATACGTGGCATGGCTAAACAACGCTAACAGTATCATTGACCTTGATTGTTTTTTTAAATGCAAAAATCCATCCTTTCATTTATTAGGTTTGTCCTGGGGTATGCTCAAGTCACTTCTAGCAAGTGTGAAGAGCCCCATGTTTTACCCATGGAGCTAAACAGTGGCACGGCCTACCTTTCCTCAGCCCCATGATTCTGAAGAAGACTGGGGTTAGTTTTTGCTTTGCTCTAGTTGGGTACACAGACCACTGAGAAGCAGAGACCTTAGTTATATTTCTACCCTGTGTTCAAGGTGGGAGATGGAAAGTTGGACACAACACTCTAGTTATCTCACTAGGATTTATGCTGCTTTGGGCTTCAGAAGTATGATATAATGCCAGAAAGAAAGGCGGGTGGTGAACACATAAACATCTGGATCACTACTGGGGCTAGCCCAAGTTGGTAGGTACTTATCAACCTCCTGACCAAAGAGGAGACTTTATTACATCCAGACAGATACTCACTATTTTGAAAAAGGATGTTTTCTGTAGCATATACAATAGTAGAGCACCTGCTTATCTTGCTGAAGGTTCCAGGTTGCATCCCCAGTATCTCCAGGGAAGGTGGGATCAGTTCCTTGCTGAAATTCTGGAAAGTTGCAGCTCACCAGTGTCAGTACTAGGTGAGATGGAGCCAGGAAACTCCTATGTTTTCTCCCCCTCCCCAGTATAAACATGTAACTTAGCCCAGAGAAAGCGACAACTTTAGGGCCCTCCAAATCATCTTTGAAGTGATTTGATTTGACTGAATCACTGCACTGGAGCAGTTCCATGAAGCAAAATGTTTTTTTACTTTTTAACTTTTCAGATTGGAGTAGTTGCTTTGCTCTGCCTTGGCCACATCTCTGGCCTTACAATGGTTTTCTGCACATGGGCAGACGCCACTTGCCTTGAAGCAAAGCAGCCAAAAAGGACGAAGTACATCCATCACCCTCTGATGTTTCCCTTTGAGTGGAAACTTTGCCTTGGACACAGCGATAAATCAGTGACACTCTGACACTTTACCCTTAGCTCAGCTTCTCAGCTTGACTTGGCAGAAGAATCGCTGAAGGCTTAGCTAAATTAGAGTCTTTATTGCAGACAAGAATGAAGCTGCACTCACAATAGTTGACTGCCTACAGCCAGACAAAGATGCCAGGAACTGTTATATATTCTCAAGGGTTTCAACTGGAGGATTCTTCCTCTGGCGCTTCTGAACTAATCATATCTGGTGGAAAGCTAGGTAGCCTTGAAGGCAGGCAATTGTGGCAGGTTGACAGAACAGCATCTCTAGCCTGAGAACTGCTGGTTTCTGCTTTGCCAGCCTCAATCTGTACAGTGAGCACCAAGGCAGATCGTGTCCCCTCTGAGATTTGAAGCAAAGCTCCAAGGCATATATTACCCACTTGGCAAAGGTTTGATCTTTGGAAATGCCTACAGACTTCTGTCAACTGACTGCTTTACGTTCTGTTGACTGAAATAGGGAAGGCAGAAAAAAATCAATATGGTACTGCTAGAGAATACAATTTATAGCATGTCACATAACAGACCACTCTCTTTCCCTGCCTCCATTCCACCTTTTTGGCTGCTGGAGGTGGCAGGGAGGAGGAGGGGCAGGAAAGGCACAGCATACTGAGATTAAAATCTGCCTTCTAATTTCCCAAAATGTGTATTCCTCACCAAAGACTTCTGTTTTTCTACCTTATTTTCAGGGGATTTGAGAATTTCTTTCAAATTTCTCTGGGTGGTGTTTTTGAATTGCCTTTGCTGTTGGGAGTGGTAGAGGAGCTGCTGCTGATCCTGTTTCACATTTTCCCATCATTCACTGCCCACACTTGCCAGTTTGGAAAACAGTTTTTACAGGATACCTTTCCTTGAAAATTGAATTAAAATATGAGAAGCCAAGAAGACTACAGATGGCAGAGGAGAGAGGACAGTGTTGTGAAAGACAGGGTACTCACATATATTCTCCCCCCCCACACACACACACAAATCTAGACTCTACTCATGAGAATTTCATTGCAATTTTCTAAACCAAATTCCCTTTAATCAAACTGAATGAGAAGAGATAGGAAAATTAAAGGTGTGATGATTTTTCTGAATGACTGAATGAATAAGATAAATGGAAAAAAGGGAGAGACTTAACGGGATGAAAATGCAGGTGAAAGTGTTGTGTTTCTGCATTTACCCATATAAGTCATTTGTACATCAAATTGAAATATATGTATAACAGCCATTTTTTTATTCCCATCCATCTTATGTAATGACCTTTTGGAGACAAAATATGGCATAGCTTTTCTCTAAAAACAGGGATTGGCATTTTCTCAGCTGCAAGTGCTATTGTACTCTCTGATGCAATGTTCTGGGTGTCCAAATTCATTTGATCATGCATTTATTCATCCATATTAATTCATGACTTTGGAACACCCCAAGTCAGATCAGCACCAATACTTAGGAAAGCCACTAAGAACTGGCTAGGGATTGATGGCATGGTGGGATCCTTCCTTACAGTTGGTGGTTGGCGTTAACAATGATTCGTTTCACTCAGATTTATGGCAGATAGGAAGGTATTACTGTCATTATTGATGAATTTTTTGTTTGTTTGTTTGTTATTGTTCTTATTTTATCCTCTGCATTATTTGCAAGTGATTTAGAGCCTTTTGGGGGGGATTAAGAAGCATATAAACTGCAGGGAAAAAATAATGAAATGGAATGAAATGATTGTTTTGCTCTCCCAGGTTTTGGGCAATTGTGACCTGAGATCTTGCAAGATATGAGAAAACTAGATCTCACAAAAGCTCTTGGTATAACAGCAGCTCTTGTAAGCTGACATCTCATGAAAGATTACCTTAAATTCATGCACTTTTGGTAATCTCATTAGAACCTGACTTTTTGAAAATTATTATTATATACAGATCATCGTGAAATCACAGCTGCCAGTTCTTTATCTGGTGTTGGCCTTCAATTCGAATCAAGTTCTTCCCAAGAACCTAGGATGTCATAATATATCAACGTAATATCTGTGCGGATCCAAGCAATGTGGCCTTTTGTAATTGACAGATGGAAATCGTGTCAATGCACAGATTTTCTAAGTGTTGTCCAAGCCTTTTTGATACGGCACTCAGTATGCCAATCGATTTTCAGATCTTGATACTTTGTGATCTTCTCTGATTCTTTGTCTTCTATTCTACTATCCCCTGGTATTGCCATATCAATTATCCACACTTTCTTCTTTTCCACCACAGTTAAATCTGGTGTGTTATGCACCAAGACTATCAATTTGCATTGAAATCCCATATCATCATCATCATCATCATCATCATCATCATCATCATCAATTATTTGGTGAGGATGACAAATACATGCTTGTATTTCTCTCACAATATCATGTCTTTGTACAGGTTTTACTGTCCCTTATGTCCTCCAGAGCTGTTAAGGGATTGAGTTGGTACATTGATGGTCATAATAATAGAAATGGGTAGTAGGAATAACCTTGAGGAACAGGAGGAAGAGTCACAACCAAATCAATGGTAAGATAAAAGGAATTTAAGTCTGAGGCAGAAATGTAATTTGAGAAAAGCATCTCAGATTTGACCCTCCCTAGTTCTCATGAAGATAAAGGGAATGATTGGGGAAGCGTATTCAGACTTGCAACATTTTGTTACTGTAGCCTTATAATAAAAGTAGTATTAGCATTCATAACTTTGATTTCCTAATCTGGTCTACCTCAAAAGGCTGACAATAGTAAAGTTAAGGGATTGGGTAATGTATAGATTTTCTTTCAAAAAAAAAAAAAAAAGTCACCCATTTTTTTTATGGAAAAGAGCCTAACTCCACCTAAGATATTACATTCTAGAAGGGACATTTATCAGAAAGGGACAATATCCTTTCATCCTATGTATGAGGGGTTTGTCATGGATGTTCTTCACAGTGGGAGAAATTTTTATAAATCTAATCACAGTCTGTCTCCAAAAAATGAAACTTATGGATACCCCTTTATATAAATAAAAATATCAGATTGAAAGGAGCATAATTCAAAACCATATTCTTGATTTCTATGATGTTTCATGTGCTTCATCCTCTTATAATAGTTTATATCAGTGTTTCTCAACTTTGGCAACTTTAAGATATGTGGACTTCAACTCCCAGAATTCCCCAGCCAGTAACACATATCTTAAATTTGCTAAGGCTGAGAAACACTGGTTTATATTATACTGACCAGGTAGGAATAATACTAATAGAATCTTACTCTGCCATATATCATCACAGATAAAAAGGGCTAGGAACTGGCTTTCTGTGTAATCGAGGACCCTGGAAAAATCAAAGAAGGATAAAGGGATAGTTTTGGGATTATATCGGTACAATTCTGCTTACCACACTCCTCTATCATTTTTAAGGCATTGCTTGCACATTAGAATTGTGTGCAAAGTCCATCTTGAGGCATGCTCCTCCATTTGCCTAGGAAGTAAAACCTGTGGGGTATATAGGGATGAGGCTGAAGTTCTGGGAGAATGGTGGGAAAAGAAAATAGATGTTTGCTTACCTCTAAACCCATTTCCATTACCAGTGGAACACGCTGGGGAAGGGGACCCTTGGGGTCGGATGACAGGAGCAAAGGCACTCTTTTGTTTGACAGCAGGAAAGACGGAGGAGGAGAATGGAAGGATGGAGGAACTGCTTGAAGAACCAACTGTGGGGCTTGAAGACATCACTGAGGGGGGAGGAGACATCAACTTGAGTTAGAATAAATAGGGGCTTGGAAAGGAAAGTGATCAGAAAGTACCACCACCACAATTAATTTCCATAATCAGAAGATCACCCTTAAGAAGTATCCAACTGAGACTTCCATAGATTCCATAAATCTCTTTGGGTCCTGAAGACTTCCTTCCTTCCTTCCTTCCTTCCTTCCTTCCTTCCTTCCTTCCTTCCT